ATGAAAACAAGTATTTTGTATAGTTATTTGAGGTACGTAATAGGCAATTCACTAATCAGATTAATTGGACACGGACATTTTGCAATATTCTCAGGGGTAATAATAGTTATATGTAATAACCCAGGGCTAATGATATTTATATATAATAATTTTAGGCTAATGATAGACATATAATAACTTAAGGCTAATGACAGTTATATGTAATTACTTAAGGCTAATGATAGTTATATGTAATAACTTAAGGCTAATGATAGTTGTATAATAACTTAAGGCTAATGATAGTTAAATGTAATAATTTAAGGCAAATGAGGGTTATATATAATTATTTACGGCTAATGATAGTAATATAATAACTTTGGGCTAATGAGAGTTAAATGTAATAACTTTAGGCTAATGATACTTATATGTAATAACATATGGCTAATGATAGTTATATGTAAATATATAGTACATTATCATTCACAAACGAAAGGGAGTTGGGCGTATGGATCTTTCAATATTCATGAGGTGCGCGGTCATGAAACAGAAAAGGGGTGACGCAGCGCATCAGCAAGGTCGGGAAGACAAGAGTATATAAAGAGTCGACGGCACACCACCAGCAGCTCAGACCTGACTACCACCTTCCTGCATCAAACATGGTCTGTCTCTCTCCGTTTATAGTAATATCTCTCATAACTTTATATATTACCATTTTTGAATCATTATAAACAAACAGAAAAAAAAGTTTTGCTTCTATGTCTATATATAAAAATATTATTTATCTTTCATTTCACAGAAGGTGCTGGTGATCACCGTGAGCGTTGCCCTGCTGGTGGGATCCTCCAGGGCAGGCGGAGGACATGGAGGCGGTGGTGGGTTTGGAGGCGGCGGAGGTGGATTTGGAGGCGGCGGAGGAGGTTTTGGACACGGTGGAGGCGGCTTCGGAGGAGGCGGTGGATCTCTCTATGGTTCCGGTGGAGGTGGCATCGGTGGAGGCGGCATCGGAGGTGGTGGATTCGGAGGATCCAAGGGCTTGGGAGGAGGTGGCAGCTTCGGTGGTGGCGGCCACGGTGGCGGTGGATCTCGCTATGGCGGCGGCGGCGGCGGCTTCGGAGGTGGCGGCATTGGTGGTGGTGGCTTCGGCGGTGGCGGCTTCGGAGGAGGATCCAAAGGTTCCTTCGGTGGTGGCAGCATCGGTGGAGGCGGATTAGGTTCACTCGGCGGTGGGTCTCGCTATGGCGGCGGTGGCGGCTTCGGAGGTGGCGGCATTGGTGGTGGTGGCTTCGGCGGTGGCGGCTTCGGAGGAGGATCCAAAGGTTCCTTCGGTGGTAGCAGCTTCGGTGGAGGCGGATTAGGTTCATTGGGCGGTGGGTCTCGCTATGGCAGCGGCGGCGGCTTTGGAGGTGGTGGCTTCGGTGGTGGAGGCTTCGGTGGTGGCGGCTTCGGAGGTGGAGGATTCGGAGGAGGATCCCACGGCCGGCGATATGGATAAACGATGAAAGTGTTAATATATAAACAAAAAATAAAATTCTGAATTTAGGAATTTCACGATTTTATGTCCTACTTAATAATTTAAAATTCTCTATATCTCTCTCGCTTAGTGCCATTAGACAAAACTCACTCAGTTCAAACATGCTGTTCAGTCCTTTCCCCTCCATTTCTTCCACTGGCTTTGAAGAAAGCCTTTGTAATCTCAATTTGACCTAACAGTGTTTGAGATGGTGCCTCCATGCTTATAGTTAATCTTCTGCCGTGGTCGAACATAGGTGTATATTCCGTTTTGAAAGCAGCCTTCAAAGATAATGGAGGATTTAAGTTTCACATTTGCCGTTACTGTGATTTTACTTATGTACTATTCCTCATGAGAAACGAAGATTAAAACTAATGTACAAATCTAAAGGTGAGGAGAATGCAGGTGATCAAGATAGCAGAATGACAGAATAAAACGCAGACGAAGGCCTCTACTCAGTGAGGCAGAACAAACCCTGTACATCTCCAACGAAAAGCCAACACAAAACGAAAGGAATATTGAATGAAATGAGAGTGTGGAGGATGCACGGACAATATCTCAGCCCCTTAGGGACAATGTCAAGAGTTAAAATTGCTTTCACACAAGGCCAGAATCTTCGTAAATAAACATGACAAATTGTGTAAAAACACTGAGGTTGAAACTCAACATAAGTGGGTTCAGCGAGAGTAGGTGGCGAGAACACATAACTAAAGGGTTATTCGATCTTCCAGAACACCATCAACCTTTCAAGAACAGAAAACAAGAGCAGATTGTTTGAATCTAAATATAAAACAAGACTTGATTGCAACCATCAACCAGGATTCATTTATCATGCAAAGATAAGAATTTGCAGGGTGCAATATTAATTTCAAAATAGCAAACTGGCAGTGGGATTATGCTAAAGAGCAGACAAAACCACAGCAGGAGAAGTTACAGATCAATATAATGTGATAAAAACTGCCGCTGAAATCAATGCTCTAATAATGGGGGATTTTTGCCACGAGTTAATTTACTGGACGAATCCAACATCATAATTGGAAGGAGAATAAATTCTTGACCTAACACTTATTAAATCATATAAGAAACTTTGTTCATAAAGAGTTGTACATTGCAATTGGTAAATTTTACACACAAATTGAGTTACATTAATTACTTGAAAGAGTCACAATAACATTATAGCACATAATCACATCATGAAATTATAGAGATATTAGCATACTCAAAGCCCTCTACATCAACAGATTCTGGGGCACTCTCTGAAAAAAATAACTCCAGCACACAGCTCATTACACAAACATAATAAAGGTCTGAGTTTATTTGAACTCAAAATACCTGTCAATTCCCTAACTTTCCTGTCCCCTCGTCCTTTATACCAATCCCAACTCCCCTGTCCCCTTGTCCTACCCGACCATTACCTCCTCCCTCTATCCCCTGCTCCTTCCCTCCATCCCCTACTTCCTTGTCCACTTATCTTCCTACCATTACCCCTTCCTTTGTCCCCTCGTTCTCCCTACAGTCCCCTATTCCAGTTCCCTCGTACTCCCAACAATTCCCCACTCCCTCGTCCGATGCTTTCCCAAATAATTTAATGTTCTATAAGAAAAATTGGAACATCAAATGATCTGATGTTTCCATCACTAAAAAATAAGAACAGTTAAAAAACGAGAAAAAAAAATAACCTGAAATTACGAAATGAATAGTATGGTAAACAACACAGCTGAATTCCACATCAATGTCACAAAATAATTAAATCAAAATGGAAATCAATAGAAATCTATGAAAATTCATTTTATCAATGCAATCAGAAACACTGAAACGGATTCGTAACATATAGTGTATTGTGTGTGTTGCTTTTACATGCAACAGATAGCGCTGTTTTTCACAAAAAGCATGCTTTTATTTGTCACATACGTGACATCAATCAAGTAGGTATAAAAACACGCTCGAATGCAAATGGAATTTTGTGTCGAAATCTCAAATCAATCGGTAAAGAACATTCAGAGATTAGCGATTTTGAATAAACGCACATTTACCTTTTTATTTTCATAGATAAATATATATGAATACTTATAAATTCATATTATATATATAATATATATATATATATATATATATATATATATATATATATATATATATATATATATATATATATATATATATATATATATATATATATATATATATATACATTTATATTAAATATAAAATTATATTACATATAAATTTATATTATATATAAATTTTTATTACATATATTGATATAATTTTTTCAATATATATATAAATTGGTAACCACTATATCGTGGATAACATTTCATTCGTTTCAACGCTCAGAGCCTCAAAAAGTAGACCACATAGACAGTAGCCACTAACATCTATTTAATGGAAGGATTCCAGAGGAACCTATCTACTGCCCAATTGGAAATCTAGTCCTTCATGTGGGGTGCTACTTTGGCGTATAGGTATTAGGTCATCCCCGTCTAGGTTATATAAGTTACTTAATAAGTGGGCAAGTGAATGAATTGTTGTTATCCACCAAATGGTGGTATGCAATTTATATGACTAGGAGGTGAATCACCTAACACTTACATGATAAAGAGGCACGAACCGGGTGGCTTAATATTTCAACTGGGCAGCACAAAGGTGGCTCTAGAATCCTTCCTTTTAGAAGATTGGATGTTGCTCACTAGGTCGAGTGGCTAATTATTGTCTCCGTGGTCAACGGTTCAAGGGTCCAAAAGTCCAGGTGAATGAAATATAGACACATGCACTCACAGTTTAATGCGTATTGGCAATCACAGCTGAAGAGGAAAAGTAAATATTTTTGTGATCGTTGTTCTCTGGTTTAATAGTCTTGTGTTATGTTTGTGTCTGAGAGAGTTGTGTATGTTTGAGTGTTTATGAAAACAAGTATTTTGTATTGTTATTTGAGGTACGTAATAGGCAATTCACAAATCAGATTAATTGGACACGGACATTTTGCAATATTCTCAGGGCTACTAATAGTTATATGTAATAACCTAGGGCTAATGATAGTTATATATAATAATTTTAGGCTAATGATAGATATATAATAACTTAAGGCTAATGACAGTTATATGTAATTACTTAAGGCTAATGATAGTTTTATGTAATAACTTAAGGCTAATGATAGTTGTATAATAACCTAAGGCTAATGATAGTTAAATGTAATAATTTAAGGCAAATGATAGTTATATATAATTATTTACGGCTAATGATAGTAATATATAATAACTTTGGGCTAATGAGAGTTAAATGTAATAACTTAAGGCTAATGATACTTATATGTAATAACATATGGCTAATGATAGTTATATGTAAATATATAGTACATTATCATTCACAAACGAAAGGGAGTTGGGCATATGGATCTTTCAATATTCATGAGGTGCGCGGTCATGAAACAGGAAAGGGGTGACGCAGCGCATCAGCAAGGTCGGGAAGACAAGAGTATATAAAGAGTCGACGGCACACCACCAGCAGCTCAGACTTGACTACCACCTTCCTGCATCAAACATGGTCTGTCTCTCTCCGTTTATAGTAGTATCTCTCATAACTTTATATATTACCATTTTTGAATCATTATAAACAAACAGAAAAAAAGTTTTGCTTCTGTCTATATATAAAAATATTATTTCTCTATCATTTCACAGAAGGTGCTGGTGATCACCGTGAGCGTTGCCCTGCTGGTGGGATCCACCAGGGCAGGCGGAGGACATGGAGGCGGTGGTGGGTTTGGAGGCGGCGGAGGTGGATTTGGAAGCGGCGGAGGAGGTTTTGGATACGGTGGTGGCGGCTTCGGAGGAGGCGGTGGATCTCGCTATGGTTCCGGTGGAGGTGGCATCGGTGGAGGCGGCATCGGAGGTGGTGGATTCGGAGGATCCAAGGGCTTTGGAGGAGGTGGCAGCTTCGGTGGTGGCGGCCACGGTGGCGGTGGATCTCGCTATGGCGGCGGCGGCGGCTTCGGAGGTGGCGGCATTGGTAGTGGTGGCTTCGGCGGTGGCGGCTTCGGAGGAGGATCCAAAGGTTCCTTCGGTGGTGGCAGCATCGGTGGAGGCGGATTAGGTTCAATCGGCGGTGGGTCTCGCTATGGCGGCGGCGGCGGCTTCGGAGGTGGCGGCATTGGTGGTGGTGGCTTCGGCGGTGGCGGCTTCGGAGGAGGATCCAAAGGTTCCTTCGGTGGTAGCAGCTTCGGTGGAGGCGGATTAGGTTCATTGGGCGGTGGGTCTCGCTATGGCAGCGGCGGCGGCTTTGGAGGTGGTGGCTTCGGTGGTGGAGGCTTCGGTGGTGGCGGCTTCGGAGGTGGAGGATTCGGAGGAGGATCCCACGGCCGGCGATATGGATAAACGATGAAAGTGTTAATTTATAAACAAAAAATAAACTTCTGAATTTAGGAATTTCACGATTTTATGTCCTACTTAATAATTTAAAATTCTCTATGTCTCTCTCGCTTAGTGCCATTAGACTAAATTCACTTAGTTCAAACATGCTGTTCAGTCCCTTCCCCTCCATTTCTTCCACTGGCTTTGAAGAAAGCCTTTGTAATCTCAATTTGAGCTAACAATGTTTGAGATGGTGGCTCCATGCTTATAGTTAATCTTCTGCCGTGGTCGAACATAGGAGTATATTCCGTTTTGAAAGCAGCCTTCAAAGATAATGGAGGATTTAAGCTTCACATTTGCCATTACTGTGATTTTAATTATGTACTGTTCCTCATGAGAAACGAAGATTAAAACTAATGTACAAATCTAAAGGTGAGGAGAATGCAGGTGATCAAGATAGCAGAATGACAGAATGAAACGCAGACGAAGGCCTCTACTCAGTGAGGCAGAACAAACCCTGTACATCACCAACGAAAAGTCAACACAAAACGAAAGGAGCATTGAATGAAATGAGAGTGTGGAGGATGCACGGACAATATCTCAGCCCCTTAGGGACAATGTCAAGAGTTAAAATTTCTTTCACACAAGGCCAGATATTTCGTAAATAAACATGACAAATTATGTACACACAATGAAGTTGAAACTCCACATAATTGGGTTCAGCGAGAGTAGGTGGCGAGAACACATAACTAAAGGAGTATTCGATCTTCCAGAACAGCATCAACCTTTCATAAAGAACAGAAAACAAGAGCAGATTGCTTGAATCTAAATATAAAACAAGACTTGAGTGCAACAATACACCAGGGTTCATTTATCATGCAAAGATAAGAATTTGCAGGGTGCAATATTTAATTTCAAAATAGTAGCAAACTGGCAGTGGAATTATGCTAAAGAGCAGACAAAACCACAGCTGGAGAAGTTACAGATCTATATAATGTGATAAAAGCTGCCGCTGAAGTCAATGCTTTAAAAATGGGGAAATTTAGCTACAAGTTAATTGACGGGGCGAATCCAACATCATAATTGGAAGGAGAATAAATTCTTGACCTAACACATAATAAATCATATAAGAAACTTTGTTCATAAACAGTTGTACATTGCACTTGGTAAATTTTACACACAAATTGAGTTACATTAATTACTTGAAAGAGGCATAATAACATTATAGCACATAATCACATCATGAAATTATAGAGATATTAGCATACTCAGAGCCCTCTACATCAACAGATTCTGGGGCACTCCCTGAAAAAAATAACTCCAGCACACAGCTCATTACACAAACATAATAAAGGTCTGAGTTTATTTGAACTCAAAATACCTGTCAATTCCCCAACTCTCCTGTCCCCTCGTCCTTTATACCAATCCCAACTCCCCTGTCCCCTTGCCCTACCCGATCATTACCTCCTCCCTCTATCTCCTGCTCCTCCCCACCATCCCCTACTTCCTTGTCCCCTTATCTTCCTACCATTACCCTCTCCCTAGTCCCTCGTCCTCCCTACAGTCCCCTATTCCAGTTCCCTCGTACTCCCAACAACTCCCCACTCCCTCGTCCGATGCTTTCCCAAATAATTTAATGTTCTATAAGAAAAATTGGAACATCAAATGATCTGATGTTTCCATCACTGAAAAATAAGAACAGTTAAAAAACGAGAAAAAAAAATAAACTAAAATTACGAAATGAATAGTATGGTAAACAACACAGCTGAATTCCAATTCAATGTCACACAAAATAATTAAATCAAAATGGAAATCAATAGAAATCTATGAAAATTCTATTTATCAATGCAATCAGAAACACTGAAACGGATTCGTAACATATAGTATACTGTGTGTGTTGCTTTTACATGCAACAGATAGCGCTGTTTTTCACAAAAAGCATGCTTTTATTTGTCACAGACGTGACATCAATCAAGTAGGTATAAAAACACGCTCGAATGCAAATGGAATTTTGTGTCGAAATCTCAAATCAATCGGTAAAGAACATTCAGAGATTAGCGATTTTGAATAAACGCACATTTACATTTTTATTTTCATAGATAAAAACATATGAATACTTATAAATTCATATTATATATATAAAAAATTATATCAATATATGTAATAAAGATTTATATATAATATAAATTTATATGTAATATAATTTTATATTTAATATATATATATATATATATATATATATATATATATATATATATATATATATATGCGAACAAGCCTGAATGGTCCCCAGGACTATATGCGAATGAAAACTCACACCCCAGAAGTGACTCGAACCCATACTCCCAGAAGCAACGCAACTGGTAACTACAGGGCGCCTTAATCCGCTTGACCATCACGGCCGTCAAAGGAAGTGATAGCCGAGGCTATTTGAGCCACTTCCCCGACGGCAACTCGGATGGTAATCTTGGGCATAGCATTTCACCAAATCACCTCATTCTTTGGGGCACACGTGAGGAACACAAATGCGAACAAGCCTGAATGGTCCCCAGGACTATATGCGAATGAAAACTCACACCCCAGAAGTGACTCGAACCCATACTCCCAGAAGCAACGCAACTGGTAACTACAGGGCGCCTTAATCCATGTTCTATTCATTCGCATATAGTCCTGGGGACCATTCAGGCTTGTTCGCATTTGTGTTCCTCACGTGTGCCCCAAAGAATGAGGTGATTTGGTGAAATGCTATGCCCAAGATTACCATCCGAGTTGCCGTCGGGGAAGTGGCTCAAATAGCCTCGGCTATCACTTCCTTTGACGGCCGTGATGGTCAAGCGGATTAAGGCGCCCTGTAGTTACCAGTTGCGTTGCTTCTGGGAGTTTGGGTTCGAGTCACTTCTGGGGTGTGAGTTTTCATTCGCATATAGTCCTGGGGACCATTCAGGCTTGTTCGCATTTGTGTTCCTCACGTGTGCCCCAAAGAATGAGGTGATTTGGTGAAATGCTATGCCCAAGATTACCATCCGAGTTGCCGTCGGGGAAGTGGCTCAAATAGCCTCGGCTATCACTTCCTTTGACGGCCGTGATGGTCAAGCGGATTAAGGCGCCCTGTAGTTACCAGTTGCGTTGCTTCTGGGAGTATGGGTTCGAGTCACTTCTGGGGTGTGAGTTTTCATTCATATATATATATATATATATATATATATATATATATATATATATATATATATATATATATATATATATATATATATATATATATATATATATATATATATATATTATATTAAATATAAAATTATATTACATATAAATTTATATTATATATAAATCTTTATTACATATATTGATATAATTTTTTCAATATATATATATATATAAATTGGTAACCACTATATCGTGGATAACATTTCATTCGTTTCGACGCTCAGAGCCTCAAAAAGTAGACCGCATAGACAGTAGACACTAACATCTATTTAATGGAAGGATTCCAGAGGAACCTATCTACTGCCCAATTGGAAATCTAGTCCTTCACGTGGGGTGCTACTTTGGCGTATAGGTGTTAGGTCATCCCCGTCTAGGTTATATAAGTTACTCAATAAGTGGCCAAGTGAATGAATTGCTGTTATCCACCAAATGGTGGTATGCAATTTATATGACTAGGAGGTGAATCACCTAACACTTACATGATAAAGAGGCACGAACCGGGAAGGCTTAATATTTCAATTGGGCAGCAGAATGGTGGCTCTAGAATCCTCCCTTTTAGAGGATTGGGTGTTGCTCACTAGGTCGAGTGGCTAATTATTGTCTCCGTGGTCAACGGTTCAAGGGTCCAAATGTCCAGGTGAATGAAATATTGATACATGCACTCACAATTTATTGGGTATTTGGAATCACAGCTGAAGAGGAAAAGTTAATATTTTTGTGATCGTTGTCCTCTGGTTTAATAGTCTTGTGTTATGTTTATGTCTGAGAGAGTTGTGTATGTTTGAGTGTTCATATATATGAACACTCAAACATACGATATGGATAGAGGATTAAATTAGTAATTTATATTCTAAAATAAAAATTTGAATTGATGAATTTCATAATTTTATGTCCTATTAAATTATTTAAAAAACCTGTATGTCCTGCTCGTTCAGTGTCATTAGGTTAAATTCACTTACTCCAAACATGCTGTTCAGTCCCCTTATTTCTACGATTGGCTTTGAAGAAAACCTTTGTAATTTCAATTTTAGCTAAGTATGAATTGTTATGGTGACTCCATGTTTGTAGTTCATCTCCTGCCGAGATCGAGCATAAGTGTATATTACTTTTTGAAAGAAGCCTTCATGGAAATTTGGTGGATTTATGTTTAACGTATGTCATTGAAGTGATTCTACTTAGGTGTTCGTCCTGAGAAACGCAGACCAAAACAGATGTACAAAGCAAAAGTTAAGGAGAGGGCTTGTGATCTAGATAGCAGAAGGAGATGCAGACGAAGGCCTCTGATCAGTGAGGCAGAACTAACCAAGTACATCTTCATCGACAAGCTGGTACAAAACGAAAGAAACATTGAATGGAATATGAGTGTGTATAATGCAAGGACAAGGCTCTGCCCCTTAGACTGAACAAATCTTATATGATACTTGGAAGGAGAAGAATTTCTTTACCTAGCATAAATCAAATAAAATAAAAAAGTTTATTTATAAATGTTGTTTATTTATAATTGGGAAATTTTACATAAAAATTGCAGTACTTTAATTACAGAAGAGTGTCACCGAAAAAGCATAGTATATTATCATATAAAGATGATGAAGTTTAAATGATAAAATTTGTTCTGAACTTCTGGTGTCTAATAGCATCAGAGAAGTAAACATATGGATTCTTTACTGAAATCTCTTTGACTAGTAGTTTTAGATTGGGATTACGATAAAACGAGTCCTGTGAGAGAAAAAAAACGCAACATATTTGGCAGGAGCTAACGTTAGGTTGTATTCTGCATTATATCTTTCACATATTTCTATCAAGTTTCCAAAGCCTCTTAGATCGGTGCAACTAGAGCTAGATCAACTGCATAACAAAAAACATTGACTCTTAAATTTTTCAACAATTAATCAAGATCAATAGCAAACAATATTGGACTTCAAACTGCACCATGTTTTGACCACATTTTTATGGAGAAATTTTCAGAGAGGAATTTACTCCAATTCGGAGATTTTCTTCATACCTGATAATAAATATTTCCTGATATTTATATATCTAGCGATGACAGGACATACTTTTCTGCAAGACATATCACTAAAATGAATCGGTTATTTCAACTTTGTCGAAAGCTTTAGAAGTATCAAGAAACAGAGAAAGAGCAGGTGAGGCAGTTAAATAACTGTCTCACAAGGCAATTTGTGAGTTGAAGTACTGAATAGTTTCCGCCACCACAAAACTACAAAGCTTACTTGAGTAACGAGTTTTGTTTGCAAATTGGAAGTCAGAGGTGCTCCGTTCACCAGCTTGATGAAATATTTTATTAATTGTGTGTTTATGGAAAAAACCTCTGTAGTTGTCGGTGGCGAACATAGAAGCTCGGCAGTTCTTTGGAAAAGAAATAAGAACAGAGGTATTTATTACAGACGGAAATATACCGTGGGGAAGATATGCAGTTTTTGCGTTTCTTGTTTAAGATTATCAGAGAATATGTTAAATGGACTATCATAACTCATTTGTTAACTCTTTTACAGCTTTCTCGAGCATAATAGGGGTTACAATATGCAGGTGTTTTAGACTATGGGCAGGGTGTATAGACTATACTGGTTCATTCACCTGGGCTGTAGGAGACTGGAACCATGGACCCCACGTGTGTGAGGCCGATGCTCACCCGTGGAAATAATCCGTGAGATTATTTCCACGGAAGTGTGTATGACAATTTACTATTCAGGTATCAAATAAAGATGAGGTAAACTAGTTACAATTTAATCTAGCCAGTATTTAGCAATATTGTACATTGTTGAATATTTTTTCTGTGAAAACATAATATATATTATAGGAATCACTCAAAACGTTCGCTACCATTTGGCATGAACTTTATATTTTTCTCATTTCACCCAAAAACTAAAAAAAAGTTCTTTTGAAAGGTTATCTGTAACCTTTGATTTCTCAATATTATCTTTCACTTTCCTAATCCACTTTATGGCTCGATGATATTGAGCGCAAGTGCTAAATCTGATCCTGTGGTAACGACCCATCTACGGGACAACCCGCATCTTTCCATAGGTTATGCCATAAGGAAGATAAATATTGTTATTTTTTAACGTGTTCGTTTAATCCAAGCCAACCTTTTCTTTTGCTGGTTGTAAGAGAGATACCCTTTTTCTCCGCCTTAACTAGCACTGACATGCCAAATGTAACAAAGATATTGAGACTGTTCCGATGGAAATTGTATGTCATTTTAGCTGTAGACTACACTGTAGTGTAGGTTGGTGTGTTGTATGAGAACACGACTCCCTTCTCATGCAGCATATGACAGAGCCTACCTGAAGTGACATACTTCTAGATCTAGTACTAACATAAGAAGAGGGCTTGATCGATCAAATCCAGGAAGGGGAGAAACTCACCCTGTCTTCTGACCACCATATCTCAAGATGACATACAATTCCAGAAGCTCATATTAAGGACAAGAACTATTTCTTTATATATTATCTCCGAAGAGAATATTATAGAATGAGAGGAACTTGAAATACCTCCTGGGGGTGAGTTAATTGATCAAAACATGGAAGAATCAGCAGGTAGACTAGACCGGAGCCTTATATATATATATATATATATATATATATATATATATATATATATATATATATATATGTCGTACCTAGTAGCCAGAACGCACTTCTGAGCCTACTATTCAAGGCCCGATTTTCCTAATAAGCCAAGTTTTCATGAATTAATTGTTTTTCGGCTACCTAACCTACCTAACCTAACCTAACCTAACTTTTTCGGCTACCTAACCTAACCTAACCTATAAAGATAGATTAGGTTAGGTTAGGTAGGGTTGGTTAGGTTCGGTCATATATCTACGTTAATTTTAACTCTAATAAAAAAAAATTGACCTCATACATAATGAAATGGGTAGCTTTATCATTTCATAAGAAAAGAAATTGAGAAAATATATTAATTCAGGAAAACTTGGCTTATTTGGCAAATCGGGCCTTGCATAGTAGGCTGAGAAGTGCGTTCTGGCTATTAGGTACGACATATATATATATATAAGCGTGTATGCATATAAATGCTTAGATACACGTACAAGCTTACAACTGAGAAAGATTTATATAAGCTGCACTTACACTTTTTCAGGGGAAGAGTGTTTGTTTATCTTTCTGATCACAATCGTCTCGAGTCTCAGAGTTCTGTCAATATTTAGATGTGTTTATCTCTGAAAAAGTTATATATGCTGGTGTGTTATGATTGTCTGCTTTGTACAGTTATTAACGATACGCTCTTTATAAACGAGGTAGATTGAACGTGGACATTTTGTAATGGTCATTAGGATAATGGCAATTACGCATAAATGTACATAGTGCATTATCATTCACAAACAAAGGTGAGTTGAACGTATGGATTTTTCAATATTCATGAGGTGCGCGGTCATGAAACAGGAAAGGAGTGACGCAGCGCATCAGCAAGGTCGGGAAGAGAACAGTATATAAAGAGTCGACGACACACCACCTGCAGCTCAGACCTGGACTGCGACTTTCCTGCATCAAACATGGTCTGTCTCTCTTCGTTTATAGTGATATTTCTACTGTTCAGTATTTTAAGAAAATAGACATTGGAGACAGAATTCAATATAATAAAAAAAAATTGTCATTACATAAAGGTCATTTTTATTTCATTTCACAGAAGGTGCTGGTGATCACCATGAGCGTTGCCCTGCTGGTGGGAACCTCCAGGGCAGGCGGAGGACATGGAGGCGGTGGTGGGTTTGGAGGCGGCGGAGGTGGATTTGGACACGGTGGAGGCGGCTTCGGAGGAGGTGGACTGGGTTCATTGGGCGGTGGATCTCGCTATGGTTCAGGTGGTGGCGGCGGCTTCAGTGGAGGCAGCTTCGGTGGAGGCGGCTTCGGAGGTGGTGGATTCGGAGGAGGATCCAAAGGCTTCGGTGGTGGCAGCCACGGTGGCGGCGGCTTCGGTGGTGGTGGAGGCTTCGGTGGTGGCGGCTTCGGTGGAGGCGGTGGATCTCGCTATGGCTCCATTGGAAGAGGTTTCGGTGGTGGTGGCATCGGCGGAGGCGGATTCGGAGGAGGATCCAAAGGATTCGGTGGTGGCGGCCATGGTGGCGGTGGATTCGGTGGTGGCGGCCATGGTGGCGGTGGATTCGGTGGTGGCGGCGGCTTCGGAGGCGGCGGTTTCGGCGGTGGCAGCTTTAGAGGAGGATCCCACGGCCAGCGATATGGATAAAAAGTGGATACGTTAACTAAGGATTCTAGACATTTTAGTAAAGAGAAATCAGTTCTCTTACAGATTAAATATTCTTGACACCATAGATAATTTATATGCCAAAAATAAACCTTTGAATTCAAGTATTAATTATTTGTCCTAATGAATTTGTTTATTGAAGCCTGTATGTCTGTTTCATCCAGTGCCATTAGGTTCAAATCATTCAGGCTCTCTCCGAAGCTCAAACCTATCTGTTCCAGGACCAGCTTTTAATCAATGCTCTGCAATCTCTCCATTTTCGTTTAGAGTATTCAATAATGATATTGGATTATGTTCATTCGACGAAGATTATTTCTAGCTGTGATTGCACGTAATTGCATAATACGATGAAAGGTCCTTTTTTGTAGGATCTTTGAGGATTTCTTTTTATTCTTGAGCTTAGTTTATGCGGCTGATATGATTCTTATGATGTTACTTCTGAGATCGGTATAGTGTTATGAATTTTTCAAGAAACTTTTCGCTCATTGACTCTGTCAGAGTCCCCTGTTTTATTATGCATTGTTCATATTTTTATGAACATGCACTGAACTGGATTGAAGTTCAGTATCCATTTGGCCGACCACACTTAAAATATTTCTACGTCTTTCTGAGTTTTGCAATAATCATTCGTCATAAATATTGTCGTGAATTATGCTTTATCAATAAACAGTGTCACAAAACAATATTCGATTTTCAGTTTGTACAAGGACATTTATAAGTGACTGGGGCAAATGATTCCTTATAATTATTTGGAATGCAATCCACTTGACGTCAACCTTAAGTCTTTCTAACGAAGCGCTAAAAAAAAAAAATTGTATAATTTCTATTCATCCTATAAGTGTTGGAACTGTTTTGGAAGTTCATTTTTTTTGTTCCATAAATTTATTCCTTATTTGTCTCTAACATTTCGCATGACTTGTGTGTTGCTGCACTCCATTTTCCTGTTTAAATATTACCTTCTGTGGCGATCGTCAATAATCATAAATTCGTACGTACTAAGGTTTCAGATAGATACTAGTGAGAAATTAATTAACAAAAATGTAGCAAAACAACAAACTTAAATATTACTAGGTCTAGTATAGCACACATATGTACTATATTAGGCCTCAGATATCGTTAATTAAGCCTTGGAAGGTTAGGTTAGGTTAATTTAGTTTGTCTTTGCATCACAAGTAAAATATAGTTTCCGGTTTGTCCAACCCAAGAGTGCAGATTTCTATTTTCTAATTTAGTTGTACGTCGGAATATATGCCATGGACCTAATCGTTACGATAAGTACTACTAAACCAAGAGGATGGGCTGGTTAAGGACACTACAATTGTTTAGTGGTGGTTCTCTTATTAGTTCAAAATATTTGTCATTTATATTTCGTCTGTTTAGCACCATCTCGTCTGTTTAGGACCACCTCGTCTGTTTAGCACCACTGCTTTCTTCATTAAAGGCATGGTAATCACTGAGTTACATGAAATGGGATTTCAGATCCTTGCAACCATGTCAGGTAGTTACTTATTCCAGCTATACGTTCAATGTCTACTTGAAATATTAAATTTAACTCGACACTTGTGTCTCATCGTTCGCTGTTAACTCTCTACTTCTCTTGGCAAGTCTCATCACTCTATCGTTCATTTTGGCTTCCTGCATTTCATTACTGTGAAGCTTCTATATTTCTCGTTCCGATATTGTTTCTGTGCTCCACTTTTAATGCTAATATAATTGTACATTTTTCGTGTTCATATCTTTATTACCTGTCTCACTTGAAAAAATATATATTTTTCGTTGGGTTCATGCTACGTATCATTACATTTCTTTATAGTCCACAATTTAAAATCTATCTTCTTCCTGATCTACTCCTCCCTCAAAGTGTTTAACTCTACTGTGTAAATAGATGATAGTAAGCGGTGGTCACCGCAGCTGATGATAATTCTTTGTCTCTATACGTTTACCACATCTGGGTTGAGGGATAATTCTGTCCTTAAAGAAACATCATGTCCTCTGAACCTGATGTTCATGTGTGTCTGTTTATGTGTACTTACCTACTTGGGTTTGCGGGGGTTGAGCTTTGGCTTTGTGGTCCCGCCTCTCAACTGTCAATCAACTGGTGTACAGATTCGTGAGTCTACTGGGCTCTATCATATCTACACTTGAAACTGTTTATGGAGTCAGCCTCCACCATATCACTTCCTAATGCATTCCATTTGTCTACTACTCTGACACTGAAAAAACTCTTTCTAATGTCTCTATGGCTCATTTGGGCACTCAATTTCCACCTGTGTCCCTTAGTGCGTGTGCTCTTGGTGTTAATTAGTCTGTCTTTATCTACCCTATATATTTCTCTGAGAATCTTGTATGTGGTGACCATGTCCCCCTTAACTTCAGTCTCTCAGTGGTGTGAGGTTTAATTCCCAAAATCTCTCCTCGTAGTTCATACCCCTCTGTTCGGGTACTAGTCTGGTGGCAAACCTTTGAACCTTTCCCAGCTTAGTCTTATGCTTGAATAGATATGGACTCCATGCTGGAGCCGCATACTCCAGGATTGGTCTGACATATGTGGTATACAAAGTTTTGAATTACAAAGTTCCTTACACAAGTTTAGAAAGGCCGTTCTTATGTTGGCCAACTGGGCATATGCCGGTGATGTTATCCTCTTGATTTGGGCTTCAGGAAACAGGTCTGGCGTGATTTCAACCCCCAGGTCTTTCTCTCTCTTTGACTCTTGATGTATTTCATCTCCCAAATGATACCTTATATCTGGTCTCCTGCTCCCTACACCTATCTTCATTACATTACATTTGCTCGGGTTAACCTCTAACAACCACTTGTTCGACCATTCCTGCAATTTGTCCAGGTCTTCTTGAAGCCTCAAGCAATTCTCCTCTGTCTTAACCCTTCTCATAATTTTGGCATCGTCAGCAAACATTGAGAGGAATGTGTCTATACCCTCTGGGTATAGACGTATATCATTTACGTATATCAGAAACAGGATAGGTCCGAGTACAGAGCCCTGTGGGACCCCACTGGTGACTTCACGTCAATCTGAGGTCTCACCTCTCATTGTAACTCTCCTCTTCCTATTGCTTAGGTACTCCTTTACCCATTGGAGCACCCTACCAGTTACTCCCGCCTGTTTCTCTAGCGTATTCATCAACCTCTTATGGGGTACTGTGTCAAAGGCTTTTCGACAGTTCAAGAAAATGCAGTCTGCCCATTTTTCTCTTTCTTGCTTCATCTTTGTCACCTGATCGTAGAATTCCATTAAGCCAGTAAGGCAAGATTTACCCTCCCTGAACCCATGTTGATGGGGTGTCACGAAGTCTCTTCTCTCCTGATGTGTTACTAGGTTTTTTCTCACTACCTTTTCCATCAGCTTGCTTAGTATACACGTTAAGGACACTGGCCTGTAGTTAAGTGCCTCCTGTCTGCCTCTTCTGGTAGATCTTCCGTCTCCAATGACCTACTTACACTATGGAGAGTGGCAAGCAAAGTGCTTCTTCTCTCTCTTTCAATACCCATGGTGAGATTCTGTCTGGGCCAAAAGCCTTTCTCACGGCCGGATCCAACAGATGACTCTTGACCTCATCTCTTGTAATTTCGAACCCTTCCACGACCGCCAGGTTCACTGCCACCTTTCCTAGCGCAGTGACCTCACCTTGTTCTATTGTGAAAACCTCCTGGAACCTTTTGTGGAGTTCTTCACACACTTCTCTGTCATTCTCTGTGTACCTTTCCTTACCCTTTCAAAGTTTCATCACCTGTTCTTTTACCGTGGTGTTTTTCCTGATAACTGTGGAATAGCTTTGGGTCGGTCTTGGCTTTATTAGCTATATCATTTTCATATTTTTTCTCAGCTTCTTTTCTCACACTAACATACTCGTTCCTGGTTCTCTGGTATTTCTCTCTGCTTTCAGGTGTCCTGTTATTTCGGAAGTCACTCCACGCCCTTTTGTTCAGTTTCTTTGCTTCCATACATGCCCTATTAAACCAAGTGTTTTTCTTTTGCTTCCCGATTTTTTCCTTTCGGGCCGGGATAAACCTGTTTACTGCCTCCTGACACTTTTTGGTGACTTAGTCCATCATGTCTTGAACGGACTTAATTCTGAGTTATGTGTCAAATTGTATATCCTTTAGCAATTTTCTCATCTCCTCATAATTTCCCTTTCGGTACGCCAGCCCTTTGTTTCCTTTTTTTTTTTGGGGGGGGGGGGGGGGAGATAAATCCTAGCTCTACCAGGTACTCAAAAATCAATACAGTGTGATCACTCATTCCCAAGGGGGCTTCCAAATTAACTTCCCCTATATCCGACTCATTTAGGGTAAAAAATCAGATCAAGAATAGCTGGTTCATCCTCTCCTCTCATTCTTGTCGGTTCCTTGATGGTACTTTGTGTGTGTGTGTATGTGTACTCACCTAATTGTACTCGCCTAATTGTGCTTGCGGGGGTTGAGCTTTGGCTCTTTGGTCCCGCCTCTCAACTGTCAATCAACTGGTGGACAGATTCCTGAGCCTACTGGGCTCTATCATATCTACATTTGAAACTGTGTATGGAGTCAGCCTCCACCACATCACTTCCTAGTGCATTCCACTTATTAACTACTCTGACACTGAACAAATTCTTTCAAACGTCTCTTTGGCTCATCTGGGTACGAAGTTTCCACCTGTGTCCCCTGGTTCGTGTCCCACCCGTGCTGTATGTGTGTGTGTGTGTGTGTGTGTGTGTGTGTGTGTGTGTGTGTGTGTGTGTGTGTGTGTGTGTGTGTGTGTGTGTGTGTGTGTGTATGTGTGCTGGAGTGTGCATGTATTCTGTAATCTATGAAGGCCTCGCGTCCACGTTCATTACTCCAGATTATAACCACCAACGTTAGAGGTCAAAGAAACTTATCCTGATATAAAACCTGTCACTGCGAACTAATCCTATAAAAGTTACTTAATTATAGTTTTTGTCATATTTTCGAATCTACTTTTAGATGGTAATTCTATAATAATATAAACAAGGTTATTTGTGTCAAGGACATGTAAGAAAGGACTGCACCGAAACATTTTGGTTTCAGAGTTCTCATTCGTACTTTCAGAATACAGGTCGACTCAAATACATTTTGTATTCCATAT